AGTAGGATTTACACAATCAAAAAGAAGTTGAAGAAGCTTATAGCATAAAAGCAAAACATGTTTAGTTGACTAAACCTTTATTGTTCTTAGCTTAAGATCTTGTTGATTACACATGTCAAAACAAAGATCCATCAGCAACTTCTTATTGATGTTGGGATTTGATATTCAAACTGGAAAAGATACAACTTAAAGATTTTATTTCTACATTATTGCAACACATAGAACACTATTTTGACCTTGACAGAAAACACGTAATTTTTATGATAAGTTGAGTACTTTTATAATAAAGGATTTCTCGAAGCTTTAGTGATTTGGAAATCTTTGCCTAGACATGAGTCTTCTTGGATAAAAGTGCCGCATCTTAAACTGGTTCTTACCTATGGGGGTATTGGTAAGTCTAAACCGTGGAGATCATTTGTGTGTAGAAGGAAGAAGGGGCAAGAGAAAGAGCAACTTGCTGATGTGGCACAAGAGAAGGCTTAAATCGGTTTAGAGTCTTAATCGAGTGTATTGGAGTTTGTTAAGGGCTATGAGTACGTATAAATAGACCCTCGTTGTCAATTAGAGTCTTAATCATGAATTATAGAAAGAATATAGGTTCAGTGTATCAAGGTATTAGTCAAGTTTAGAGGAGACTTGGCTAATTTTGGCTTGTATTTCTCTTTTGATCAATAAAGTGGTTTTGGTTCTTAACATGCATCCATCAAAGTTTGCTTAAATATTGCATTTTGGAATACCAGAACCAAAATAATGCATTTTGAAACACTTTTGCATCATTCATTTGCGTCAAATCCATCGTTATAAACAAAACATGAACTTATATACATCAAAAGTTCCTTGAAGAAAATTAAACTACTAATATGGTTTTACATAACGTCTTTTGACAAAGAAAAGTAATGGAAAAAGAGAAAAAAAATAAAAAGAAAATCTATGAAACAACGAAAAGAAAAAAAAAATGGTTTGCTCTTCGCCTCTTCCTAATGAACACACCAAAAAAGAAGATTTTTTCGTTACCAAAAAGTATCTTCTTGTTATCCAGTTCAGGCGGAGGCAGAAAAATGTTGACACCTATTTATGTAACGTACCCTTTTCCTCTTATGTGTTTGTTTATCTACAGATTCCAAAGCGTTTTTTCTTTTCTCATCAAATCGTTATTCGTTCTATCCTTCTAACAGTTTCCTTCATGTTTTCTCTCTCATCAGGGTTACTTGCAATACAAGCAGCCCCGATCCGCAGCAACTCCACCATCTGTTGCATGGAATCAGTATTAGTCGCTATCTCTGGATCGATAAGCTCTTCTTCTTTATGCTGTGCGATTGAAGATTGCACCCATTCAACGATATCCGTTCCGCCTTTGCCATTGTTTAGGTACTGAGAAGGAAATTTTCCTGTCATGAGCTCGAGAAGGATAATTCCCAAGCAATATACGTCTGATTTTGGTGAAACCTGCTGGTTTTTCACGAACTCAGGGGACTTAAAAGCGAACAAAGCCTGCGAGGCATTGCTAGGCTGAAGAAGCGAGAGGAAAGCGTAATCGCTGATCAGTGGCTCATAGGACTCACTTAATAGAACATTGCTGGATTTGAGATTTCCATGTGGTAGCTCGTAGGACGCAAACTCCTCGTGCAAGAACATCATCCCACGAGCGACTCCTTGTATGATCTTCAATCTTGTTGGCCAAGTTAGCTCCGAATGGTAAATCCCTCGATCTCCTGAAAATGGAAAACAAGAAAAAGATTCAAAAAGGTCCCTACATATCAACATCAGTCTCGGTTTTTTTGTGGTAAACTGAAACCGTGTTTTTTTTTTTTGTTTTGTTATTAATTTCAACAAAACATAATAATTTGTTAATCCTAAACGCAAACGTAAAAACATTGCACTACCGTGTAAAACGTAGAGCAGACTGCTTTTAGGCATGTATTCAGAGACGACAAGCTTCTCTTCGCGGCGGTAGTGGTAAGCTAAAGGGGTAAGAACGTTAGGATGTCGGAGTTTCCCAAACCGTTGCAGCTCTACATCGAATGCCTCACGCGCAAGCTTGTTCATATCCCTAATCCTCTTCACAACCACGGATAATCCGTTAGCCATCACCGCCTTATAAGCGGATCCGAGGCTACCGTTTCCTAGCACCTCGGCTGCAGCCTTCATGAGATCGGGTAAACCGAAGGAGCCTTTCTCGCTGTTCACCATTATAATGTCTCCCATGCCGCCTGCTCCTGGACCACCTCCTCCACCTTTCGTTGAACCTTTCTTCGAGGAACCGTCCGCGTTACTTCGCTTCTTGCTTGACTCAATAGGTTTCTTTATGGAGTCTGGCACACGCACTTCCACGCTCTCTTGGTCGCTTAGGTGGTCCTTGCCGAGCATCCGGAACTCAGGCTGCCTCTTCTTCTTTAGTCTCGTTACAATCGCCACAATGATCAAAAATATCACAAGAAACAAGATGACCATGAGGATGGCTTTGCCCGCCACTTGGTTCTGCTCTCTCCCTGACCCTGTGGATGGCGGTTTCGCAACGCATTCCGCAGTCAGCGGTTGCCCGCAAAGCTTCTGGTTCCCTTGGAAGTTCATCTGTAGATTCTTTCTCTCCGAAATGCTCTTTGGTATCTCTCCTTCCAGATTATTGCTGGAGAAGTCGAGGGATTTAAGAACCTTGTTTCCATCTGTAAGCGGAGGGATCTGACCGGAGAACTGGTTGCCTTGCAGGTGAAGCTCCTCGATCCCCGGGAGCTGCATCACGGAAGTGGGGATTCTCCCGGAGAAACGGTTGTTATCGAGAAACACCCGCTTGAGCTGTGGCGTGTCCTTGAAGAAATCATCTGCGATCTCTCCGGAAAAGCTGTTGTTTGACAGCAAGAGCGACTTCAAGCCATGCAACTTGAAGAAAGGAGGGAGTGGACCCGAGAGGAGATTGTTGTCAAGCCTGATTGTTCTTAGGTTTGGGAGATCCTTAAGATCCTCGACGTCGATGATCCCAGAAAGGCCGAGCCGGGTGACGTGAATGCCGGAAACGGTTTGACCCTTTTGGCAATAGATCCCAAACCATTTGCCGTTGCACGGATCGGTTCCTGTTCTCCATGAATTCAAGTCCCCTTTGGTTATATTCACAGAGCTCTTGAACCGCACGAGCGGCTCAGACTCGCTGACGTGTTGCAGAGAAGGGGTGAAGGAGAAACAGAGGAGGATGAAGCAGAGAAAAAGAACAGCAGTCATGGGTTAAGGAGAAGAGGAGGAGCTGCTGTTCTTTGTTGTTGTTTTGTTATCTCTCAAGGATCTGATCACGGAAATGCTGTTGATAATGGTGATGTATGGTGCTGTCTCTTCGTCTACCAATCTTGTTTTGCTTGGATTGTGTTTATTGTTCAAAAGTTTGGACATTGTTTTCGAGGGTTCACAAAGAAAGGGGTACATTTTTTCTTGTCTTTGAGGGAGTTAGCTTGCAAAGTTTAGGCTTCCTCTTGCCAAAAATAGCATTTTATCATTTTCCTAAATTATAGATTGCTTTTCTTTTTCTTTTTTAATTAAAAGGAATTGAGAGTCCAGAGACTTTCTTGGAAAATTTCTTACGACCATGGGTTTTTAAAGAAAACCTTGTTATTCCTACCACAATAAATAATCGGTTTTTTTTTTTTGTGTGTCATCTAACACTTCGCACTAATCACAATTTTTATTTTGGGAAATTATATTACATATATACCAATTAGTACAACCTTCTTAAAATACCACTGAACTATATTATGTATCCGAAATGTTCTCTCACATTCCCTCGTTAAGAAAGAGAAATGTCACTTTTGGGTGCCGACTTTATCTTTCGATTGAGATACAATCGATATCAACTTGTCAACCTTTAAAACCATTCGACGGATAATTTGTAGTATTTTTCTTTTTTGAGAAAATAATCCCATAACTGTAGAAATATGGATTTGTTTATGGATAGTGTTTGTACGATCCTTATATCATTTTGTTGGTAAATTAGTGCTTAATACACTTGACATACAGTTAAACGAAAAATATACAATAATTTCCTACAGTGATAAATTGCTCTAGTTCATTTTTTATTGGAACAGGTTTCAATCTGTTAATGCTCCGGGGGTGACACGTGTCGCCCAGTGCAGCTGTGGCTTCTGGGAACATTAGCACGTGGATCTGTACGTGCGCATACAACCTTTGAAAAAAAAAAAAACATAATATGGTATTTGGGTGATGTATTTGAAAATGAGAGAAAGAGAAAGAAGCACTTACAGAGATCTGCATTTCCCGGCTTTTCTCGTCGGAGGATCTTTCGCCGCCGTGGCAATTTGTCTCTCCGTTTTCCTTATCCTCCAGCATCTCCGTTTCTACACCAATCCTTCCGTCTGTTTTCTTTCTTTTTCTTTGTCTCTCCACATTCTGTTCTAGATTAGGGATTTGGTTCATTGATCCTAATTTTGGTGGTATATATAATTGCAGGAGCAAAAATGGATTGTTCCTGTTCTGTTCATGGTCCCAGTTTATGCTACTGAGTCGGTATGTCCACCTCTTCTTCCCCTTGCGGATCGAGTTTTGTTTTAAAAAATCGTAATGCAAGTGATTTTTGCTTTTATAGATCATTTCCTTGTCCAATGCAAAACTGTCGCTGCCTTGTGACATTCTGAGAAACTGCTATGAGGCTTTCGCTCTGTATTCCTTTGGAAGCTACTTGGTCGCATGTCTAGGTTAAGCTCTCTGCTCTCTAACTCGTGTTCAACATTAAACCAATTAATTTAGCCC